ATACTGTATGGAATAATTAAAGCAAGTTGACAATATCCATCACCTCCAATATTTAACATTTTCTATGGTTAAAATTTACTTAAAATTTACTCTTAGCAGTTTTGAAATGTGTATTGCTTTATTATGAGTTATATTCAGTAGATTTCAAGAAAAGCCCACATTCCTCCTAATCTCTAAATTTTAAAATATGTTCCAGTACTTTACATATAGTATCCCTGCCATTGCAACTTAGTGGCAATTTTTTAAAAGTTTTATTTTAATATTGACTTTTCTAGGTGGATATCCCATCTATTATAACCAAGAAACTCTTAAAAGCAGCAATGAAGCATATAGAAGTGATAGTTAAAGCCAGACAGAAAGGTAATACAGTTTTCTACTGCAGTTTATTTACCTACTAAAGAGCGTCTTGATTGCCTCTATTTTGTAGCAAAATAAAAAAATAAATAAAGCTATTATAGATATTGTGTACAAATTTTTTATGTAGGAAAATACTTATTTTTGCAGTATTGGGAATTGAACCCAGAGCCTTATGCATACTAAGCAACCATTCTACCACTGACCTACACCTCCAGCCCAGAAAATGTACTTTTAATATATTTAAAATTTTGTGTGAAAGACCAAAAGCAAAATAAAATATCAGGCTTAAAGTAAATGGAGCCATCTTTTTAGATTTTGTTCATAAATTTCATAAAATACCCACATTATTTTCTCTGACAGTGATGTTACATAATAGAAACAGAATAGTTTGAAAGTTTTTTGTTGAACCTTTGTAAGAAAGGCGTTGGCCACTATTCATGTCAAAAATAATCCTCAGTTATAAACCTCCATGAAATACAAATTAGATTCATTAATAGCTCTGTAATCAGTCAAATCCATAGAACTAAACTACTAGAGAATTAGAAGGGCTAATTTTATCCAAAGATTCTGCTGTTCTACATATGATGTCGCTAGGTAGGTTTGTGAAAGTTTTCAACTTTTTGATTTTTCATTTGTTTATGAAATTGTTTTCTGAATTCTTCGGCCATATAAATATGCATAATTCAGGAAATAAAAGACTCCTTTCTTCATCTTTACTCAATTCTCTTTTTAATCTGCCTCTTGAGAATAGAAAGTATATAGAAGTTTTCTATGTACATAGATGTTTTCCAAGGCTCTAAGACATGTTGAATATATATGAAGCATTGGCTTAATTTAAATTTAATAATGATTGTATATGGTCTGCAGACTGCCAACAGATAAGACATTTGAAATACTGGTGATTAGTGGGTATTTTTATTCTTTTTGTGTGTGTGTGTGTGTGTTTTTTGAGACAGGGTTTCACTATAGTTCAGGCTGGCCTTGAACTCACTGTGTAGCCCAGGCTGGCCTTGGATTTGTGGCAATCCTCCTGCCTCAGCCTTCTAAGTGCTGGGATCACAGGCATGTACCACCATGCCCAGCTGATTAATGGATTTTATTCTATGCTCTGTTTTTCAATTAAGCCCCCAAACCCACTTTAAAAATGTTTTTCCTGATCTGTTTAATTTCTCATTACCTAGGACTGTAAAAATTTCTCATTTCTGACATATTAAATAGATTCCAGTCTCATAATTTAATCTATATTATATGTGAATGCTTAATTACATCAAATACTACATTTATTTACTTGTTTTATATGATGTTAATAATTGTTTGATAACTGTTTACTGATATGGACCCTGAAGCTCAAAAGAATTGTATCAGTTGTTCATAATTGTATCAGTAACGGGCTGGGGATTTAGCTTAGTGGTTTCGCCGCCTGCTGTCCAAGCGCAAGGACCCGAGTTCAGTCCCTGGTACCAAACAAAACAAAACAAAACAAAACAAAACAAAA